CTTCTTCATACAATGACAAATATTCTCCAACCTCTGTAGTGAATTCGAATCCTGGAACGGCATCTTCATCTTCTAATAAAGCTTTGAAAAAGGAAAATAAAATTTCAACGGAATATATCAAAACGGTGTTTCACGTACACTTACCTCAAAATATTAAAGAATTCGGTGTACCAGGTGATTAAATAATTAAAATAAATTTAGTGCGTATCTCTCTTAAAGCAGTAACGATAATATTTTTTATCTTGATTCTTTAATTACCTTGAAGCTGTCGTTGGTAATATCAAGGAGTTAGGGTTTTGGGATAATCCGATTGTCAAGCTTCATCAAATTTCTCGTCACCTCTCTCCCAGTTGTGCTAATACCTACTGGATTTCTGATCCCGTTCTGATTTCTTTAAAATATATCGAATCTATTCAAGAAATACGTTATAAATATGTGGTTGTTCCAGCACAACAAAATGCAAAAAAAACCAAAGAAGCCACAATTATGATCTCTGAAGGTTTTGCTGATGTAACCGACCGTATTCTTTTATTACAAAACAATCAGTATGATATATGGAAGGACGGTGAACTGCTCCATATTAGTCAAGTTGAAGATTATCATTTTGCCGAGCTTATATTCAATTCTTTAACTCCGCAAAATTTTAAAGAAAAAATTATAGAATATCAAGCAATTAATAGGAATCATTGGCCAAAGACAATTCATGAAGTGTCGATCGAGTTTTTTATAAAATGCTTACGTAGAAGTAAATCTAAAGAGCATCTTCTTTTAGTACTTGTCTTTTTGGGATGTTATGTTCACAGAATTCAGAGACGTTCACGTCATCGTATTGATTTACCAGACGAATTTCCTACAAATTTGTTACTTGATGTATTGGAATATGTTCAAGAAAATACTTTTCCATCTGATGTGCATCAATTTGTTATGAAAGCTGTGGAAACTTTAATTCGTCATAACGTTTTCAACGGAAAATTTGACTGGATTAAAATATTTCCCATTGCTAAATTACTTGATCCGGAATTCAAATTCGTCGAATCTCTCAGGTTCAGATTCGATGAGAAGACCGAATTGCATTTTCTCTCTACTTTACATGACAAGGCATTCCATTACATTGACCAAATTAAAGATTTAGAGACTTATGCTAGAGTTGGAAAGGTATTTTTAAATATATATTTATCGATTTAATTATTGACTATTAATAGTTTTATATTTTTTTTAGTGGTTAATTTCAATATGTGAAACGATGAAATCACTAATCTACCTTTGGAACAATATAATTAAACATGAAGAAA